TATATATATATATATATATATATATATATATATATATACACACACACACAGATATGTAGCAGTAGGATTGTGTATATGGACCACATACACATGTATAGACATTAGGCGCTCTTTTATAATACAGATAAAAAGCTCACCTTATACTTCTATATCAGATTCTATAGGTGGAGGAAGAGGAAGCCATGGTCACCAAAAGGCTACTAAGCAATTACTAATTACAAACATATACCAGCAAAATAAAACTTATTAAAAACCTTTAATATCAAATTATAGTAATTCACTTACCTTTATTAATATTTGTGATGGTTAAAACCATCAGTGGCATTTTGTAAAGTGAGTGGGGTCTGAACCCACACAGACATCTGTCCATTGGAACAGGAGTGGGGTTTGAAAAAAAATAAAGAAATGTGGGCACAACCCATTTTAAGGAGATCAACAATATTTGAGATGGATAAAACCATCAGTGGCATTTGAGGACACCATTGAAAATCAGGGTTAAAACCAACATTAGCAGCAAATTCACTAAACACACCATGCAGAAGGAATAACCTTTTTTTTTTTAAGTCACTCTGGCCCTGACTCTGCTCAGTGCAAACAGGAAGATGTCGATCTGCCGTTTTGGACTCTTTAGATAGAATCACCAAGTCTGGATGTTGGCAAATTGCACTAAAAAAACAGCACCAAAACACAATTTTTGTTAAATGGAAAAGGCATGGAACAGGACTGCCAGAGGACACTGAAGTCAATAAAGATGAAAGTAATTACTGACAAAGCCAAAGTCGACCGCTGCGGTCATCTTGGTACACCCAACATGCACTTAAGGTAACCAGGCTCCCTTACCACCTCAATATTTGATTTAAAAGTTTGTAGACTTTAGTCTAGCAAAGTCCAATCTTCAATCACCATGAACTATTATAGTAATCTTAACCCCGGGAGTCCCAACCTTCTTGGGCGGTATCTGGGTTCTTCCTTAGGGAGAGAGGCTGAACTTCTCAGGGATGTCATAACGAAAAACTAATGGCAGGTGAACTAGGAGAACTTTAAAAAATAAAACTGTTGTGCTGTCTAACAGCTTGAGGACAGGAAAAAAAGACTGCTTATTCTGGGGAGGTGGATTCCTTATAAACCATCATTTGAAATTTAGATTCCTGTCCTATCAGCTGAGAGGGAGGAGCTAACCCACAGGTGATGCAGACATGGATTGGCCAGGAAAATTTAGTATTAAAGGCTATGTTCTATATAAATTTAACCCCTTAAGGACGGCGGGCGTTCTATGCCATCCTTAAGGAACCGGCTGTAAATGACGGAGGGCAGCATAGAACGCCCAAACCGTCCTTTCTACTTACCCGGTCACCGGAGGACCTCGCGTTCACATGGACGGCATAGCCGTCCAAGGCATTGCCAGCAGGGGGAGTGCCTGTAATGACAGGTACTCCCCCTGCTGTCTAAAAAAATAAAAAAAATAAAAGTTTAAAATTACTATATATATGAAAACTGAGATGCTTGCACGTCTGGATTAGAGTAATTGCCCGGTGCTGGTCAGGCACAAGATACAAAAAAAATGATTGGAAATGACCGCACTCCAAGGACTTGTTGATAGTAAAAATAAAATATACTTTTATTCTATATCATATAAAAAAATATCGACGTTTCAGCCCCAATCCACATTGAAATTCGCCAGATTGGTTACGTTGCCTTTGAGACCGTACGGTTGCCCAGGAATGAGAATTACCCCCATAATGGCATACCATTTGCAAAAGTAGACAACCCAAGGTATTGCAAATGGGGTATGTCCATTTTTTTTTAGTAGCCACAGTCACAAACACTGGCCAAAATTGACGTTCAAATTAGTTTTTTGCATTTTCAAATATTAACACTAACTTTGGCCAATGTTTGTGACCAAGTGGCTTCTAAAAAAAGACTAGGCATACCCCATTTGCAATACCTTGGGTTGTCTACTTTTTCAAATGGTATGCCATCATGGGGGTAATTTTCATTCCTGGGCTACCATACGGTCTCAAAGGCAACGTAACCAATCTGGCGAATTTCAATGTGAAAAAAAATGAAAAATGTAACATGCTATATTTGACCCTGTAACTTCCCCAAACACCATAAAACCGGTACATAGGGAAACTGTAAACGCAAACAGTATTATGACATTCACAGTTAGAATGTCACGTAGAACTAAACATTTTTTAAAAATTCTTATTTTCTCCTTTTTTATTCATATTAAATTGTTTTATACCTAATTATTTGATGTTAAATTAAAGTCCTGTTCCCCCTGAATAAAATGATATATAATAAGTGTGGGTGCACATAATATGAAAGAGGTGAATTACGCCTGGACATACAGCGCAGATTCACGTTATTGTTTACGTTTTGTTTTGATCACAACGTGTACATTTGGCTCAGTCCTTAAGGGGTTAATAGTCTATGTACATGATGCAAAAACAGAGGTTTAAAGTTATAACTGATTTCCTCCCTTGCTTTTAACATCACATAAAAGGAGTGCAGCTGCCAGGAAAACTCTGGTGTCTACCATTAATGCACATAACGTCAAGTACCCTTGCTCACATTAATGCGAGCCCTGGTGTTAACAAGGGGACCATGGGTAAAAACTTAATTTGATACAGTAAAGTAACTTTAAAATGCACTTGCCTTGTTCAATTTAACAATGACCGCTAGCAGTATATTTTGCAAACCTTTTGTGTGCTATGACTGTATAATACTTCATATGTTGCTCAGCTATGTCGTCTGAGTACAGCAATACCACCGTATGTACCTTTGCCAGGTATATGTGGATGTTGAAGGGGCGCATTTGAGACGCAGACATTCAGAGTTTTTTTTTTTTCTAACTTTGAAGTTTTACGCTGTGTCCATGTTCCAATTTGGGGTAGTTTAGACGGTTGGTTATTGAAACATCGCCACAAACACTATTTATTAAAGAATACACCCTGAGGTAATTCAAAAGGCACATTTTGAACCATAGCGTGGGATCATTTTTTCTCTAGTTTGTTCCAGGTGTAGTTGTAATGAGCGGTTTTAAATTTTTATACTTTTTGAACCTTTCTTTATTTTTAAAAACTAGTTTTTACATTTTTGTTTTGCTTATTAATTTTTTAAAACTTTTTTTTTTTTTTACCGTTAACCCCCAACTAGCAGTAAGCAGCACTAACAGTAAATTCCCCATAACTCCCACCCACCCCAGCTAGCAAAATATATAATTATAAAAATATTTAAATTAATTAAACTGAACCCCTGAGGGTTAAAAAAATAAAAGTTAATCCTCAGGGGTTAAAAAAAAATTAGATCACAGTATAATACTGTGATCTGTATTTTGATCACTGTAGGCAGTGATCGACTGGCAGGGAAGGGGTTCATTTTTATTTGGACTGGGTAAAGGGGGGTGTTTTTTTAAATTTTTACTTAAACGTTAAAACTTTTTTTTTTTTTTAGCTTAACAAACAGTAAAATGTAATCTGTAGTCAGTGATCAATTGGCAGGGAAGGGGTTAATTTTTTTATTAAAATGGGTAAAGGGGGGTAGGATTTTAAATTAAATTTTTTTTTTTTTTTCTTTTTTTTTTTTAACACAGCGGGCAGGATCATCACTGTTCCGACTCCCTGCACTTCACACAGAACCACGAAGTGCAGGGAGGCGGAAGGTGAGTATATGGAGCATATGTGCTTGTTCTGACAGCCTGTCAGAGCGAGCACCGGTGCTGGGGCAGCGAGATCAGGTGCTCCTGGTCTGCCTCTAACACAGAGGCAGAACGGAGCACCATTAACCCCGCGATAGTGGCGATCCGGGGTTAATTTTAATGGGTGACGGACGAGGTCAGTCACTCGTCGTTAAGGGGTTAATTTAGTAGATATAGCCCCAATGAAAACATTTATATTTTATAGCTATATTATTTCATGGAGGATGGAGATATATATATATAAAGTTGCAAAAGCTGTAAAACAAGTTTGTCAGCAGCATTTACAAGCCATCCTCTTTGGGAATCCTCTGTGCTGAGGCTGTGAGCATGCAGCTTTCCAATGAGTAGAAATACAGTGCACACTAACAGTAATAATGTTTCAAAAACAATCCATTTACCAGTGATGAAACACCTAAGCCCTACCGATGTTTGAGAACTACATTCCCCATGAAGCTTTGCAAACATAAAATCGCTGCTTTAGACCAACAGAAATAAAACTCATCACAGCTTCTAAAAACCAGGTCAGTTTAAATGCTTGACTGTTTCAAACCTTGGAGTAATCATAAACACAAGCATATCAGTTTATGAAGAGAAAAAACTAAAAAAAAAACCAAAAAAAAAAAAACGCTTTTTAATTTTCCGCATAGGTGCTTCACGCTGACCTACACTGCAGAAAAGAGAGAATTATTATTTTATGTCATAAGCGAACTGCTATCATAGCTCATTACCAAAATAGTAGGGACTGGATTTTATTAATGTTTATCTACACAAAATGTACCCAGCACAAGGCCATTGAAGCAAACATTGACAAATATTATGGACCGGAGTGGAGATTTACATGGCGGGGGAAGGGAAAATGGTTTCCCATAAAAAGTGTTCGCTTCCAGACTCCTCACAATGGATGGCAATAATGAAAATCAGCAGGCGTGACAGTGGCAATGAATTTATTTTAAAGTGTGTTTGTGGGGGCATGGATGCTGAAGACACGGGTCATTTCCAACTAATTTAAGGTTGTTTTTGCCTTTCATTTCATTTTAAACTCTCCAGAATAAAAGAGAAACAAATCGTATTTATTGCTATTGATTGCAACAGAACAGTGTCCACCCTGAAAATGCAGTTTGATGGCTTTTGCTGAGAACTGCAAACCTACATATGAGAAGACATATGCATAAAACAAAGCATCCAAACATGGAATTTGATACATCATTGCAAGTGTATTATTATTATTATTATTTTATTTTTTTTGCATGCTTAGCAAACAGGAGTGCCATTGGCATGGCAAAAAAAGGGAAAAAAAAACAAAAAACCCCACACCAAAAAATGATTCAACATACTTTGCAGGCAAAAACAGTGTCTTCTCATTTTCTCCCCGCAACTTCCTCCAATATCACCATTTGTTTTTGTATGCATATTAATTACAAAAAGAAGCTCTATACAAGAACCCACAAGATTGAGGGCATAAACAGGATCTTGTTTGGCATGCATCTTTTTAATTCACATTGTATTATATGTGCCGGTGACAATCACTGACAGCAGATGGGGGAAGGTTAACTATGAACCAAAGTTTTCCACAACCTATGAAAATGTATACTTATGACAACTTTATGTATAACAAAAAAAAAAACACAATGTAAGGAGGGTGCCATTGAAAAGGCAAACATAGATGTGATTCATTCAAGTAGACTGTTTTACCTTTAAAACTTTGAAAAACAAATTCAATAGCGCCCTCCTGACATTAATATTGTTTTTCTTAGTTATACTCGACTAGTGGCTCAATCTTTTATAGGAGTGGCAGCTGTACTTTATAACTAAATAGATAAACATGTTTTCATGTTCTTCGTATATAATTGTATTCACAACTTTGCAGTAACTTTATGTATAACTTCCAAATGTATGGGTAAAGGAAAAAAAAAACATTCCCCCACAAAAACAAAACCATATAAACAACAAACAAACCAAAAACACAAAATACATAACTAGGTAGTTTATAAATAAAGAATTTTTTTTTTTTATTAAAACCCACATGTGACACTTTAATGTCCTTCACTGGTAGAGTCCCCATGTCAGATGTCCTGGAAAACTATTATCTGCAAGTGAGGAACCACACCATTTTAGAGATCAGGTCCATGTAAGCAGTAAAAGAAACAAACAAAAAAGACAGTCCGGATGAAAAATAGAATCCAAAAAAAACTAAGCAAAATTCTCGTGGCCTTGGAGTTGCCAGTCCTCAAATAACCAATAAAACAGTCTTTTTATATTAAACAAAGCTTTTATGGTTTATGGAACAGCCTTCTCTAGTAGTTTTAAAAACAAACTGTAAACAATTAAAAGCTGTTTTAGCAATTTTTACCCAGTTCTTAAATTTGTATGCTGGCAGTTTAAACGGTCACATATGATCATGAATTAATTTTTTATCAAACAAAAACCTAGGCCTTTGAAGGCCCCATAGGAAAATGGTTAATATGTTTTTTTTACAAGAACAAAGAAGGCTTCTTCACAGTATTGGTCAGTGAGAATGTTTACAGTAGCTCTGTTCAAATTCCCATAATCCTGTGCTGCAAGCTAAGGCATGGAAAGAATTTAAAAATGCTCTGGTTCAATATAAAAAGACAAGAAACAAAAATCAAAACTGCTTGGTAATAAGAATGTTGTCTTAAAGTCACATCAGTGTCCCTTTTTAGAGGAACCAAAACCTGAGAAACCCATAACAGCAGCCATTTCATCATCTTCTTCAAAGTTGAGATCTTCTTCTGCTTTCCTCTTCTTCTCCCTTTGCTTTTCTTTTTTATATGCACGTGCTTTTTCTTCCTAAAAGCAGTAAGAAGGAACAAATGAGGGGGGTGGGAAGTGCAGAAGGAAAGCAAAAATGATATAATAAACAGATTAACGGGCCTCCTCAGTACTAATTGTTTACAATGTGGTTGACAAACCTTGGCACTCCAGCTGTTGTAGAACTTTTACCACAATACTGATGGATATGATGGGAAAGCTCAAGAGCAAAGGCTATATACACAATTTTAAAACCAACAGATATTCAGCAAGATGGGAATAAAAAAAATAAAACTTGCACAAACTAGACTGGATGCTGAAACATTGATGTTACAGCCAGGCTATAAATACTACTCTTACTTACTTTTATGAGATACTGTAAGTACCGTACTGATTGAGTACACCCCTCAAATTTTTGTAAATATTTTATTATATATTTTCATGCGTCAACACTGAAGAAATGACACTGTGCTACAATGTAAAGTAGTACGTGTACAGCCTATATAACAGTTTAAATTTGCTGCCCCCTCAAAATAATTCAACACACAGCCATTAATGTTTAAACCATTGGCAACAAAAGTGAGTACACCCCTAAGTGGAAATGTCCAAATTGGGCCCAAAGTGTCAATATTTTGTGTGGTCACCATTTTTTTTCAAGCACTGCCTTAATGCCCCACATATGCTCAATAGGGTTTAGGTCTGGACAAATGCTTGGATGGTCAATCACCTTTACCTTCAGCTTCTTTAGCAAGGCAGTGGTCATCTTGGAGGTGTGTTTGGGGTCGTTATGTCCGATCGGAAGGGGATCATGCTCTGCTTCAGTATGTCACAGTACATGTTGGCATTCATGGTTCCCTTAATGAACTGTAGCTCCCCAGTACCAGCAACACTCATGCAGGCCCAGACCATGACACTCCCACCACCATGCCTGTATGCAAGACACACTTGTATAGCAGGAACAGCTCTTATAAGAGCTAGTGATTATACTCAGGGAAGTATTGTGATATAGCAATCCCCAGAGTGAATGTAGTTCTCCAATCCCCCAAACATGAGCCAAGACTTCATGAAAAGTATTTTATGCAAGTCCCCAAGCAAGGTGTATGCCCACATGGACCTTGTTGGGGCAGGGACACAAACTTACAAATCAATAACACATTTACAATGTAAGGCACTCCCACACATCCCTCCCCTCTGCTTGGGAGATAATTGGATAAGTAACTGTATTCATTCTAATCCAATTATTTCCAAGCACATAAAAAAAAATAAATAAAAAAAATTTAAACACCCCAAAAGTAATATAAAAATACATAAAACCTCCACAAATGTTACATCCCCTGATAGCCCTGATCTGGGTGACCAACATATCCAAAAATCACCCAGATCAGTTCAGGGGTTCAGGAATTTCCTGTGAGTCTTATTTTTAACCGACCGTGCACGTGGTCTCATGCCCAAAACAGTTCCAGAGAATTAGTGCTAACGGTCGGTCGGTCGGTCGGTCGGTCTCTCTGTCTGGAGTACAAAAGTACATACTTCACATGAACCGAGCCTTTTAAAGTTTTTTTTAGCCAGGTCTATTGCAGGGGCCTTAGTCACAGGGTAAGAGGCTGGCCAGCAGGCTCCTCCAAGAACCAGTAAAAAAGTTCAGATCGTCACAGGTGTATTCACTTTTGTTGCCAACAGTTTAGACATTAATGGCTGTGTGTGGAGTTATTTTGAGAGGACAGCAAATTTACACTGTTATACAGTCTGTACACTTACTACTTTACATTGTAGCAGAGTGTAATTTATTCAGTGTTGACACATGAAAAGATATAATATATTTACAAATATGTGAGGGGTGTACTCACTTTTGTGAGATACTGTAGATAGATGGATGATTGTATTTTTAAAACTGTGCAAACTTTATTGCTAAATTTAAATTCTGTTTTCCCATGTGTTTCTCGCTGCTCAGGCCTCTGTTTACTCCCCAAAGCAGACTGACACGAGGACAGGGATCTCGTGAATACTAGCTCTATGCCTGGATTTCCTGTGAGCACAATGATGATCTCTATATTTTTCTTGATTTTTCTTTTTCATGGTCAGAAAGTTACAGCACTATTATCATCACAAGTATTTCCAAAAGGGTTTCTTCCCAGATCGACATTTCAGTTTCTAACATAACCTTTATTGTGATCCTGGGGCACTGGAAGTACAGGTGATGCAGCAACATAACCAAAATTAGTAAACAGTGCTGCAACATCACTAAGGGAAAAGAAGACAAGCTAGTGTAGGATGGAAATGTGCCCTGCTACTACATGCTAAACCTGGTGGTGGACCAGACATAAATTAGAGACCTTCCCTTTTTCTTGACGAAATCTGTAACCCACCACATGCAATAGGCACAGCTCCTACTTAATCCGTAAAAACCGACACCTTTCCAAAAGTGCAATGTAAGGCTGAAATACCTCTCACTACCCTTTTGAATATCAGTATTACAATGCGAATGCACTAGGTTACGAAGAGAGCAGGAGGAATATTTCTAGCTAAGTATTGTCAATCACAGCACTGCAGGTAGACCTGGGCTAACAACTGAACAAATCAGATAACCAACAGGGGTGTATTTCTTCTCACCAATGGTGTTGTAGAGGTTGTGGTGCTGGCCGCTAATGGCATCATCACCCGCTTCTCTGCCAAACAGTTTTACACAAACCAAGGTTCCCCCACAGGGATCCCTGGTATGGTACCTTGAATAATGTACTGTTAAAGTAAAAATTACACTTGTTTTATCAATGTAATTCTGCCATATAGTCCCCAGATTTCCACTGTGCAGAGAAGAGGAAAACATTAAATAATGCAGTTTATCCACCATATCCAAGTAACAGGACTTACAATATACAAACTTTCAAACACACATATCTGCCAATTATTTGACTCTAGCCAACCATGCATACCTCTTCCCGCAATTCTTTCATTCTCTCCTCAAAGTCATAGTCTTTTTGCTTTTCTTCCATCTTCTTTTTATTAATCTCAAATCGTTTCTTTACTTGGTCTAGTGTAGAACGTTCTACTCTCATAGACATTCCCAAGTTCCTTTGATCTGAAAGGGGAATAGATGGTTTGTAAAATATGCATAAAATAGATTTTTATCTTTAATTAAAACTTGAGTACCTATGTTACCTTCTTCTCTTGCATGTAGAACAAACAATATAACTGCCAGTAGAATGTTCTGCCTAAAACTTCTGTTTGCAATTGAAGAAGATGGCACACACTTAACAGAGGGGTTACTTCCAACAGGGTGGTACAAGTTCCTACAGAAATCTTTTGGTGGGAAATACAAGTATATGGGCACAGCTGATTGTTTCTTTTTAAAAGGCAGTCTTTATTTAAAAACACAAAAATGGAAATCACGTTTTGGCTCCTACATGAGCCTTTGTCATGACTTGACCAAGGCTCATGTAGGAGCCAAACATTGTCTCCATTTCAGTGTTTCAAATAAAACTGCCTTTTAAAAAGAAACCCTCAGGTGTGCCCAGGTACTTTTATTTACAGCCTAAAACTGTTGACATGACCAAAAGATATTAACCTTGGATTTAAAGGGAGTCTCCAGTGTCAGAAAAACAAACCAGTTTTCCTGGCATTGCAGGATCCTGCAATGCTCCCCTCCCTTCCGCCCCCCAACCCATGTTGCCTAATGGGTTAAAGTGGCCACGCTGGCGCATTAGACCTCCCCATAGGAAAGAATTATTTAATGCTTTCCTATGTGGAAAATCTGATGCTGGAGGTACGTGTCCAGCGTCAGATAACGGACCAAAGGTCGGTTTGGATTCCGGAAGCCCTGTAGTGGCGGTCTGTTAGACAGCCACAGAAGGCAGACTTAGAGCTGCAATGTAAACATTGTAGTTCTCTGGAACTGCAATGTTCAAACTGCAGCACTAAGTTTAATGGACATGGAAGTGGCCTGGGTGCCTGGAGTGTCCCTTTAAGGGAGTTGTATCTCAGGATATGTAAAGAAAATTGCATTTACTGTTTGCAACGGACACACTCTGCTACTAATTTCCAAGAGGGTTACTGCGGTAAAACAATGGACTCTGCTAAACAGAGTAGAGGGTCAATAGCAGAGGATGGTTTGCAAAGTACGCTCTTCAGCTAAAGCATATGACTGACACTACAGATTCTTAGCCATTGCAAGATTATGGATTGTTTGTTAATAAGGTACTGTATGTTAACAAGCACTGGACCCTCTCAGGTGATCATTCCTAGAGGGCTGTGCTTTTAGGAGTTATTTAAAAAAAAAATGTAGAAATCAGCTTGGCTGTTGCTACTTGGAAATACTCTGGATATTCTCAGACGAGAGGCAGTCCAAAAAAAAAAAGTAAGATTTTATTGTTTAACCCCTTAAGGACACATGACATGTGTGACATGTCATGATTCCTTTTATTCCAGAAGTTTGGTCCTTAAGGGGTTAAATTCTTTACCTCATTAAAACGTCAGACTTCAGTGTAATAGTTGTTAAGCATTTGTTTCACGTTTCACTTTTTGGAGGTTTGGATGCGGTCTAATCTGTAGGTGGTTCTCTATATACAACAGCAAGAATTGAAGTCTGAGACTTGTAAATTAACAGTTAAACAAACATAGGCTGGGACTGTTGCAAAGCCACTGCTGCAGAGACTTAAAGAAGGAGATACATTTTAAATTAAACACAATGTTCAAAGGGAAAGTTTTAAAGCGAGACCACTCCTTGCATGAAGTGTTTAGGAAAGGATCCGTGGCTTGGGCTACATAAACAAAATTGATTTCAATTTCTGAATGTTAAAGGACCACTATAGTGCCAGGAAAACACTCATTTTCCTGGCACTATAGTGCCCTAAGGGTGCCCACACCCTCAGGATCCCCCTGCCGCCGGGCTCTGGGGAGAGGAAAGGGTTAAAATCTTACCTTTCTCCAGCGCCGGGCGGGGAGCTCTCCTCCTCCTCTCTGGCTGAATGCGCATGCGCGGCAGGAGCTGCGAGCGCATTCAGCGTGTCTCATAGGAAAGTATTCATAGTCAATGAGACAGCCACTAGAGGCTTTAGAGGCTGGATTAACCGATTTATAAACATAGCAGTTTCTCTGAAACTGCTATGTTTATAAAAAATAAAAAAAAATGGGTTAACCCTAGCTGGACCAGGCACCCAGACCACTTCATTAAGCTGAAGTGGTCCTTTAATGCCACCAGTTATAATATTGGTTTAGGTAGCCAATGAGAGGGTTAGAGTATATGCACTTAAAGACACCATAAACATCTAGTTGAGAGTCTGTAAAGAGTGATCACTTTGATTTAAAAGAAACATTCTGTCAATTAATTTGCTCACCTCATGAAAAAGCAATCAAGTTTATAGTATAAATGTGTATTCCACTATGTTCATTTAATTTACCACCCCACTACTAATTATAGATACCATCTGCAATACCATATAATTATCACAAGCATTATTTGTCATGAAGACAAAGCTAGTTGTGGGTCAGGATAATTGCCCTTATTTTACATACAAGAAGGAACATGAAAAATTCCATAAAGAACCCAAAAACGAATGTTCTGAATGGCTAATTTATAGAATCCCTGTTTTAAAAGACTGCTGTTCAGGCCACTGAAGTCTGCCCCTGCACAGTCAATGTTTATGGACTATATTTCCCATTATCTCCCCTACTCATAAAGCTGAGGATTATTTGATATGTAGAAAAGAGTATTCAGTTTTACATTTTTGCTTCCGTATCAATCCAAAACCGAAAGTGAGGGTGATGGTGGAGAGACACAGAAAAGAAATGTAAAATTATTGAAATAACCAACACAATATCTAAGACCACCACAGAGCACATCCTTAAATAGTGCCATATTGATTGCTCAGAGCACCCAATGCCTGCCTCACCTGATAAAGAGCAGCACATTTATTATAATGCAGTGTCTTCAAAAGAAAATGTCAAAATGTCCAATTTCTTGCAAAAGTGTCACCGGTGAGCAATCACATACTTTAATTGGTGTAATCCAGACCACAAGGAATTTAATATTTGAAAATGTTATCTCTCCTCCTCCCAATTTCAAGTTTTACCTACGTTTTTGGACATGTAGACTGGCACTGGCTAACCCTTGGCCCTTTGTCATGAACAAAGGTTTCCCGGGATTCTCAGGCAATAAGGTAGACCGGCACTCAAACACTGTTTATACACACTATACATACACACACACACACACGCACCTTTATATAAATATATGTATCTCATTAATATAGATTTTAAAGGAACACTATAGTCACCAAAAGAACTTTAGCTTAATGAAGCCATTTTGTTGTATAGATTAATGATCTATGTACCAAAAACTGCTTCATTAAGTAAACACTGTTTTGGCAACTATAGTGTACCTTTAAGAATTAATGTGCCATTTTTGTTCAGTGTATACTTGTAGTATGGGCTCTGATTGGTTAACAAATGAGAAGCAAAAGTAGAGTACAATAACAAATATACAGTAGTGATGGTGCTCAACAATAATAGTAGTAATAATAACATTCACTGTGGACCTCCTATGAAGAACATATATGCATCAGTGTTATTAATTAAGGTGCATATTAAGTGTATTAATATTAATAACTAGTGCACAACAGTGACCAAACAGATATGAGTAAAGATACTTGCACAGTTAACATCACTACTGTATGTTTTCTGTTCAAATCTTTACCAGGATTTGTTTTGATGATTGCTGCACCTGTTAGATCTACCATCCCCTCTGTGCCATCCTATTTATAGTCGTCTTTACAATAACAAATATAACAAACAACGCATTGACAAATGGTTGTTGGTCCATGAGCTATGAAGCACACGTTTAAAAGGTTAATCCAACCACCATGACATCTACTTTTAGAAGTGGTCATGGTGGCTGTATGTGTACTTGTGTGCCAGGAGCTAGTTACAACCCCTAGCACATGTGACTTTGGCAGCCCATAACAGTCTCCTCCCTCCTTTATTTTCTGGTCTCTCCCTTCCTAACAGATAAATATGGCTTTATTTTTAACATTTTTTTAAGTATTTTTTTTCCACATCCCTCCCAGGCTCAAACTGAATGATGGACCTTGGTGACGCCGGGAGGAAGGCAGAGCCAAGCGCTTTGCCCAGCGCTGGATTCTAGGTAAGTAAAATATTTTGTTTGTTTTAAGCAGGTTTTATTGCATGTGGGAAGCACCTATTTAATAGTGCCCAATAGATAATGTGTAAAAAAAAAAAAAATAAGGGCAACAGGAGTGAAGAAAGGGATTAGTGACTTTTTTTTTTAATGCTATTTATTTAAAGGAGGGAGCTTAGCAGAGTGCTGAATTCCAGGTAAGTTTTTTAGAATTCTTTTTAAGCAGGTGTTAAGGAGGGGTGGGGGACACCTATTAGCAATGCTCAATGTGGCATTGCGCGCACACACACACACAATATTAGTAATTAAAAGGGTAGGAGTAACCCTTTAAGGCACTTAGGATGTGTCCCTTTCACTATTAATCAGCTCTATTAAAAAAAATATATATATATTTCTGAGATTTAACATGCTATTTAATGAGTTATGTTTCCAATTATTCAGTATGAGTAATGTAGAAATTACAGGGCAGAAATCGCAGAAAATTAAATTACAATACGGACATACAAAAAAGAATCATGCAGAAATATCACAATAAGCTCTTGAAAGAAAGCTTTGCACATTCTAAAGAGGAATGTACAAATGTAATATATAACAAGCATTCCCCATGAAGAATATACTCAAACATAAAAATGATATTATAGATATACATATATGACAATAGCTTTACCCTAGTGGGTCTTTCTAAGTGACAATCCGTGAATATTGCAAAGCAGACTGTGCATAAAAAGGCACACTGCCTCAGTATAATGACATTTCTTGCACATTATAACCAAGCGATAAGGAAAAAGTCACATGTCAAAAAGAACAATTTAACAGAAGGTAACAGGAGATATCTGTAATGTCCTCATTTTATAAGTCTGGAAAAATAGCAATTTTAAAAGAGGAGTGTGTACTGCAATGGCCCTGCTTTCCTTTTTGATGTTCATAATGCTGCATAGAACAGTTAAACACCAAAACATGTGCATTCATGTCCCCTTCCAATTACTAGCAGAATACTGTCTGGTAAAAACTGACTTCTAAGGTTTGCCATAAGTGTCATTTGACAAGTACAGGACTATATTAATATTAAACACTGCCACATGCTGTTGCTTGGCAACTTGCAAATTGAGGGTTTATGGGAGGAACGAGACTATGGGGTATGACATTTTTCTCAACACATCTTCTGACTATGTAGATATATATAAATGTATTATTTGGGAAAATATTAAGATAAGCTAGTAATATACGAGGGCAGAATTAGCAGCAATAAAATAACACTATGCAAAAATAGCTCATTGGCATGGCTTACTGATTACAACTCTAATTAAATATATTTGCCAAAGCCAATCACAGGATGTGCCAAGTAAATACATTAAAAATAATACACATTGTATATTATATACACTGAGGATACTGCTTCAGATGTAGGAAAAACCTACACTGTTGCCATAGAGAAGATTACCGAGGTAATAAGGGGCATGAACCCAATTAACATCAACACTTGAAAAATAGAAAAAGTGAGGTTAGGCCTCCAAATAAAAATTACATAGGGCCCACCTCACTGGAATTACCTCTATTGTTAAAAAATATCATAAATGGTAATGGACTTTATTGGATTATATACACATTAACTTTTCAGTCACATTTATCCTTGTGATTTTTCATCAACCAAATCTGCGCGAATAAGAGCAGTGGAACAGGATACCCGGTCACCACAAACGGGATGGATACAACAGTCCAATATTGGACCCTTTTCCAGATAATGCTTAAGACATTAAATCAATAATAAAAAATAAAAAAATACACTAAAACCCCACCAAAATGCAAATAATTGGTTGTAGTACCGGCATCAACTGCTAATCCTCAGCCTTTGTTAGCCATGAGTTAGTCACAATTCTCCTGCCATTTTCTAAAACACTCTCGAGCAACATTTGCTGGGAGTTGTTAGCTCATTATTATTATTGCCTTTTATATAGTGCCAACAGATTCTGTAACTCATTTTACCATTACACTTTAGCAGTAACCCAGGTATTCAGGATTGCAAATTAAATATAATTCGCAAAATATTAAGAGAGATGTAGGTTAGGACCGCATAGATTAGAAGACATAAAGGGACACGTGTGTTCCTCTGTACTTCTTTCTAATAAAAATGGCAAAGAGAAACAGCCGTTGTTTTATGTGTGAAGAATTAAAGTTCAACTACTCTCACGCTATAGAAAAAGGGAAGAATTTTTTCTTAATGAAATAAAAATGTAAGAGCATACTTATTTATATAGCCACTTGTATCTGCAGTTTAGGAAAACAGCAGATTCCATCCACATGTTTACCATAAGGCAACTTGTTTTCCATAAATTCCCTCTATGATTTAAATGCATGGGTCCTCAAACTCCGGCCACCTAGATGTTGCTGAACTACAACTCCCATGATTCTTTGAATTACATAGATAGCCAAGGAATCATGGGAGTTGTAGTTCAGCAACATCTGGGGGGTCGGAGTTTGAGGACCCATGATTTAATGGGATTCTCTAGTGTTATGAATACACAGTTTTATTCCTAAACCTATAGTGGCCTTAGGTCACCCCCCCCTGACAGCATCCCTTAATTCCTATATATAGTGCTTATTCACATTAAAGGTTACATAATAAAATTAAAATAAAGACATTTCTCCATAATGAAGGCAATTCCCAAGTGATAATATTTACATGTACTTAATATATTGGTTACCACTCACCCAACCAGGATATAACACACCCATGTATATACAGTATTAAGATTGCATATAAGTAGTCCCAGTTAATCACTGAGGCAACCCTAAACTAAGTAACACGCAGCCCCCTTAAACTACAGTGCACACATACCTACCTACAATAACTGAATAAGGCTAGCAGCCCACAGTGTACTCGTACTTATCAACACACAGCCATTGGGACAAGATGGACACATCTGATCGGCAGCAGAGGAGGAAGCAGAGTGAAAGTTTAAAGGACAACTGTCACTTCAAATATATTTAACATAATCCTTTTATCAAGTATTGAAAGAAAGCATATATTTTTATTTTTAAATTATATGGGGAAAAAACGGAGAAAACTCATCCTTAACTTTTTATGACAGGGTCCTTCAACCATATAAATGCAACTTTGGTCAGATACGGTTTGAAAACCTAAAGTCTCAATTTTCTTATTTGCACAGAAGCAGGAAAGACCGTAGAGACTATAGAGATCATCATATTAAAACTATTTTTGAGGTGACAGCTGTTCTTTAAGACAGTTACACATTGTAAACGTGAGTAGTTGAGTCTCAATACAGGACAGGGTTAGTGTAAGGAACGTGGCTATTCATATGCAAATTGAGGCTTGTCATCTATATGTAGTTTAATACACGGTCCTATGCAGCAAAATGAGAAGTAGTTGAAAATTTTAATTTATAGGAACACTGCAAATACAATAACCACTCCAGAGTGCTGTGATGTTTATGATCCATGGCATCTCCCCAATAAGTAGTCAAACCATTTGCCAACTTCCTTGGTGTCTGCCAAGTGCCACTAACTTCCTCTTTCGAGAGCTGGAAGCTCTTGCTACAGTGTGCAGCAGTGGTTATGGTACTTCAAGCGCTTGAAATGTTACTTTAATGAAGCAACCTATATTCAAATTTATTCTAAACACCTCCCCCATTGTAAACAGAGTGAGCTGTAATGGTTATGGTGTTTGAGTGCTCCTTTGAAAAAAAAGGACACTATAGTCACCAGAACTACAGCTTAATGTAGTCTACTGCCTGTCCCTGTAGGCTATTTAATGTAAAGACTGCCTTTTCAGAGAAAACATTGCTGCCTAGTAACAACTCTAGTGCCAGTCACTAAGATGTCCTCTAGAGGTGCATATATGCAGCACGGACGTTCAGCGGTTCCACGCTGTGTATGAAGGCGCTGAACGTTCCTCCTGAGGATTCAATGTATCTCAATGAGGAGATGCTGATTGGTGGAGCGCTGGCTGAGGTTGTCAAATTTGGTCATCTCAACCAAGGAAGCGGAACAAGGGCAGTGCCAGCCATGACAAACATACATGACACTGGAATAAAGGTGAGTAAATTCACCTTTTACACTGAATACAATGTAGGGGCACGGTCACCTAAATAGTGTTTTAAAGAGAAATAGTGACAGAAATGCATGTCTATTGCTGTCACTATAGTGTTCCTTTAATAGCTCACTTTCACTTGGAAGAGGTAGATACAGTTTGCACAATACTCAATTCATACACAATTTTTTTTTGTACCTTCACAAGTTTAGTATCGATTGTTGCCTTCCATAGAGAAATTAAAAAATGAATACATTGTACCACCAACGTACACATGGATAAATTATGTTAAGCTAAAAAGTTAACATTTAGAATATATTTTGTATTACAAAATTTATTATTTTAAACTTACGTTTTTTGCCATTGATATGATCCAAGAAGTTGATTGAATCTTTTACCACACAGTCACAAACATTACAGTAGTAGCTGCACCAAAAACAAAAACAGAAAAAAAAAAAACTAAATATAATACAAATAAACACATTGTATTGCTAAACAAATTCATTTATCATCTTCCCACTTACCTATTTTTTAAGTATAATATATAGAGCTTAAACTTGCACCTTGTTCAAAAAATAGTTCCCAACAGCATCAGATTTATTAAAGGGACACTATAGGCACCAGAACAACTTTAGCTTAATGAAGCAGTTTTGGTGTATAGATCATGCCCCTGCAGTCTCGCTGCTCAATTCTCTAACATTTAGGAGTTTAATCAATTTGTTAATGCAGCCCTAACAACCTCCTTGCTGCATGTGAATACATGGCCTTCAAAAATACTTCCAGTAAACAGATATATTCTATTGTTTAAAGTTTATTTATTGCACATTCTGTTTAATCTAGAATTACTCTACAGCCGAATAGACCTTGCAGGAGCCTCCTGTCTGTGATTAAAGTTCAATTTGCAGAGTTGGCTATAAAACCTTCTAAAGCAAATTAACACGTGATTGAAAATTAAACAATTTTTCATGCAGGCTGTGTCAGTCACCACCAGGGAGGTATGGCTGAGGCTGCAGAAACAAAAAAGTGATTTAACTCCTAGATGGCAGAGAATTGAGCAGAGAGACTGCAGTGGCACGATCTACACATCTAAATTGCTTTATTAAGCTAAAATTAGTGTAATGCCTATAACATCCCTTTAAAGTAACCTAAAAAGTGACAGTTTTCTTTAAAGTAAATTCCACAATTTTTTGCTGAAATTTCCTTTTTAGAATACTGCCACCGATGGTGTACGTTTACAAAATTACAGTTAGGTTGCAAAAACAAATCAAACATGCTACAGATGGAAACCAAATAAAAACAAATTCAGGAAGATTTCATACATTGATTATGAATAATTTACTAAATGTAAAAGGATTGTAACACTTTAATAAATCTCCCCCATTTTCTCATTCTGATTTTTTTTTTGTGGAACTTTCAGTCCTAAACGTACTATGAATACACATAAGCAGGATATTTTTATTTGTTTGTGTCACACTGTTGTGTGACAGAAATTATACATCTGCCTCTACTGTGGAATGATTGCTCTCTCTCTCTAAATAATTTTAACATTTAGGTATCCCTCCCTACACATGCTATCCTCATAAATGTGATATCTATTCATCCTAGAAATTTACCCCTGTAGGGTATGCAAATAAAGTTTAATGACTGGCTAGTAGCATGGGAATTTCTAAGACCTGTCAAATATTATGCATTGGTTTCATTGGAGAAAATTTGGCAGAATGAATATACACATTGGTTCAACAAATAACAGAGAATGTTTACCAAATGTCACAGATCACCCACTTTTATTACAAACTAGAAAGAATGTGGAGTTTGACCCTGGATATATATATTCGTTTAAAATCACATATGGTTATTCAAAGTGTAAACTGTTTAAAATGCAAAGTGTCTTTGAAATTTAAAGGGCAACTGTCATGCCACAAACAATCTGTGCTCATTAGATGAAGTATACAATTGTATCTATTCATTGTTCTAGCAAATGTATAGTTTAAGAGAAAAACATACACACACACACATATATACATTATATATATTTATTTATTTATTTTTATTTTTTTCCTCTAAGCGGTCAGTTAATGCCTCCACACATACCTACAAGGAAGAGCAAAAATTATCTCTTACAGGAGGTCTTTCTGCTCTCCTCCCATACGCACTGTGGTTGCTACGGAAATATTTCTTTTCTCTTAATCTATACATTTTCTAGCAAAACTGCTAGCACAATCTAAAGTGCTGGCTTGGGTGATAGGGTTCACTCTTACTGACACCAGCACTCTGCCAACGAAGCAAGCACGCCAACGTCACCAACAAGATTTGCCCTGCGTCCCAAGCAGGGCAAATCAAAGAAGAACAAAGGCAGAGCAGAGGACTAGGAGAGGAAGGTCCAGTTGTTGGGATTACACGAAGAGTAACGTCCACAAACCAGCACTGGAATGAAGAAAAAGTAAGTAAACCTTTATATGTTACAATGAATACACCATGTATCTTTATGATATATGGTGTATTCAATGTGTATAGAAGCGATTTAAGATATGTTGTTTTTCTCATAACTGGTTCACTTTAAGGCAAAAATAAGCTTATTGTAAAAATTCTCAAAGTCTGCTGGGATTTCAGTTCCGCCTCAATATTGAAATTCAATATGTATTTCTGACAATTCTCATTTTACTGAATAACCCTGTAACAATGTGTGCAACAAAAAAAAAAAAAAAAACACCAAAAAAAAAAAAAAAACACAGAACTGCTCCTAGGATTATTGTAAATGTTTAGAGAGTATGCCAATATAGGACAAGAGATTTCTATAGTTCAGATCTGGTATTTGCCTTTCGCTTGATATTTGTCCAAGCTTGCCTTAACAAAATGGATCAATATGTTTTTATTAGTTTTGTGTCAGCAGCCTTCAATTGCATATGAGTGATCTGGAATTATTTTTAAAAGAAATAAAAAGATAGTGAGGTAATTAGAAAGAGTCAAGGTAGTACCCAGGGGAACGTTCAGTCTAAGAAGTTAAGCCCCATATTAATTTGCTTATCTCATAGGCTTGAGGCTTAGAACCTTATATGACGGTATTTATAAGTAACCATGTCTAATCTCCCCTTCTAGTTTCTTTAATGGAATAAAAAAATAAAAAAAAAATAGACAGCAGAGATAGGGTTACAAAATAAAGGCTGGGCACTTTTCTAGATTTAATTTGCAGCAATCACTGCACATGCAGGAAAAACAGTGGTAGGCCCACAGAGTAATAGTCTCTTGTATAAAAACTATGACCTTTCCAGACAATACTTCCCAGAGTCTGCTCTGCTTCAAATTAATGCGTCTTGCAGGAAAATGATTTTGGAAAATAGTTCAAAACTGATTTGCTGCACTGCAAGGGATTAAAGAGGTGAGATGTAAACACTGACGTTTGTTAAACGCCCACTGACTCCTATATTTATATGATTTAAACACCATCAACCTAATAATATTTGTGAATTGCACAGAACAGGTTATTTTGAGATACATGTCCGAAAGGGAAAATAAACACTGTATTTGTCAGATGAGATGAGACAGATAGTGAAGCCATATATTATTGTTCTGAGTGAGACAATGGCTGCCCTAAGTTTAAATGTATATCTTGATAATTTAGGCGAACTTCACTAAACACATTAACGCACAGTGTTTCTCACATGTCCTATACAATACAAATTTAAAATGATACAACAGATTCAAATTCCTTTTAAAGTAATTTAGTCACTTACAAAGTTCACCATACACATAGGTTTAAAGTACACTTATGCTCCTTTGAAAGAGCATCATATTTTGGCTATACCTTGTGTATAGTTTTAAAACATAGAAACATAGAATGTGACGGCAGATAAGAACCATTCATCCCATCTATTCTGCCCAATTTTTTTAAATACTTTCATTAGTCCCTAGCCTTATCTTATAGTTAGGATAGCCTTATGCCTATCCCACGCATGCTTAAACTCCTTTACTGTGTTAACCTCTACCACTTCAGCTGGAAGGCTATTCCATGTATCCACTACCCTCTCAGTAAAGTAATACTTCCTGATATTATTTTTAAACCTTTGTCCCTCTAATTTAAGACTATGTCCTCTTGTTGTGGTAGTTTTTCTTCTTTTAAATATAGTCTCCTCCTTTACTGTGTTCATTCCCTTTATATATTTAAATGTTTCTATCCTATCCCCCCTGTCTCGTCTTTCCTCCAAGCTATACATGTTAAGATCCTTTAACCTTTCCTGGTAAGTTTTACCCTGCAATCCATCTCTAAGGTATCAATATCCTTCTGAAGATACGATCTCCAGTACTGCGTACAATACTCCAAGTGAGGTCTCACCAGTGTTTTTTACAATGGCATGAGCACTTCCCTCTTTCTACTGCTAATACCTCTCCCTAAAAAATCTGGAAGAATGCCATGCATAGGGCATGGATGTATATGGGAGAACATACCTCCTGCCAGAGAATGTTTTTGACCTTTTAGAGGAAGAGGGTGAATGCGACCTCTATGAAGAACCTGTTCACACCCAGAGGGCGATCTTAAAGTGGGGGTACTGTCACGGTTCTCACCGTGACATCCAGAGAGCCAGACGTGGTCGCCCTAGAAATGCCCAACAGGCCTGCATTCCTGCATGCAAAATGTATAATTTGGAAGAAAACCCTATTTAAAAAGGGATTTAAACCACCTTGCAATCATTGATACTTAAAGCAGAAGAGACCACCCACAGGAATCACACTGCATGCGCTGTGGTTGCTATGGTGATTCCCTAGTCAGCACTAGTGGTGCTGGCTAGGGAGTCTAGGAACAGAGTGACATGATGTATGCATACATTTGCTAGCATAATTTTAGAGATTTGCATCTTTCAAAAAGTGACATTGTATTTTATTTATGCTTTTATTTTGCAGCTTTTATTTAAAATGATATTTAATATATTTGCCTAGTTATGGACTTCCGTAAATTGAAACAGTAATATTTAGAAGATACCAATATAATCATGGAGAAGCACTGACTTATGCTGAACGAATAGGATTTATATATAGAATTGCTGATTGCTCTTGAAATCAGAAATTTATAACCTAAAACAGAGGGAGGCTCCGCTCAGCTCCTCCTCTTCTGTAGGGGAAAGCACTGGATTGGCCGGGAGATCAAAACTAGTGATAATTTTTTTTACAATCAAAATTAAATAAAATGAATTATGAGCCCATTGCCTTCACCGCCTGTTTAGGCAGGGCTAGGCACACTAGATTTAGCAAAATACACAAGTACTGCACTGCTGCTATTCGCATGAAACAAAGACAAAACTCGCCTGACCAGGACGCCAGACTAAGTCAAATATGAAGAACATCAAACAAACCCCAATATTGTCAACAACATTCTTACCCTCCCATCTCTGATTGTGGAGTGGTTTTGGTGATGACAATGGTTTTTCCCAGCTTGGATTCCAAATCCACCTTGTAGTCTCTGTGTCTGAGAAGTTCCCTCTTAACAGGGGGCTGCAAAGGTTTGCCTAAAAAAGAAATTATAAGCAGATTTCACGTATTGTTTAGTAAAAGTATTGTAGGTTACATGGTTTTCATCAACTTTAAACTTCACAATATCAGGTTATGCCATACTTCTTTCTCTCAATTTATATTTTACAGAGACTGAATATCACTCCCTCTAGCATGTAGACTCATTGAGCATAGTCCTCATCCCCTCTATTTCTGTGTGTCCAATTATGTGTTTGTTCATCCACCCATTGTACAGCGCTGTAGAATTTGTTGGCGCTTTAGAAATAATAATAATCATGGGATAATTATAATCATAATTATGGGCATAAAATGTGCAATGATGTGAAAAAGAATTTCCACCCCATTATCTTTTTACTTTTATTTATTGCACTTTTTTTTGCTTAAAGGAATCATAAAATGGCTTGCTGAACTCTTTTTAAAACAAAAAAGTGTGTGCATCACACAAACATTGTAAAGGGACATCCCGGCACCAATAAAACTTTAAAAAGGGATACTATAGTCATCAGAACAACTGCATCTTAATGTAGTGTTTCTCGTGTCTATAGCCTGTACCTGCAGGCTTTTTTATGTAAACCCTACCTTTTCAGAGAAAAGGCAGTGTTTACATTACTGCCTAGTAACACCTTTAGTGGCAGTCACTCAGGTGGCCACTAGAGGTGCTTGCTGTGTCAATGCCTCCACTTCCTGCATCCAGATGCTGAACATACTCCACAGAGATGCACTGATTCAACGAATCTCTATAAGGAGCTGATGATGCAAACTGGTGCAGAGCTGCATTTTGCAACACATGTGCAATAGCCTCCCAATGCTTTCCTATGGGAAAGCATTGTTTGATGATCTCAGCCAGGGAAGCGGAGCTAGGTGGGGCCTGCCACGGTGGTCCTGGAAAAAAGGTAAGTAAACACGTTCTGCCAAGAGAGGGGGTCGGGGACCTAAATAGTTCGCTATTTTGCCACTATAGTGTCAGGAATACATGTTTGTGTTCCTGACACTACAGCGATGCTTTAATGACAGATTGATTTGATAAATTCTGGTCTCATTAGTATGCTGTACTCTTTACGCGTTCAATAATTTTTGCACAAATAAAAAACTAAAATAAAAAACTGCAGCATAAGCCTGCCTCCTTAGTCACACAGCCCTCACACCAGAAATGCTTCCTGATCAAATGTATGCACACAGTCTTAGCCTCAACAGCACTGATTGAGTCATTTTTAATTCACAACCTGGCTGCAGACAGCCAGAAATTATTAGGAAAAGGCGTAATAAGGAAAACAGGTAGTGATATATTGCTATGTCTTCTTGGGTGTGCCATGTCCTTCTAATGCAGGTTGCTGTGTAGTTCAGATCACTCAGTACAGTCAATGAGATGTGTGCATACATTTGATAAAGATGTATTTTTCTACAGTGAGAGGGTGTAGCTAAAGGGCAGGCTAACAGTGCAGCATTCTGCAAAACATTTACTTTTTTGTGTGTAAAAACTATAAAAGCATTGAACACTCAAAACAATAAAATGTAATAAAGCCTATTAATGAGGCCAAAATGAACCAAATGCATTAAAGTTGTATTGGTGCCTGGGGTGTCCCTTTAACCTCAATAACTAAATCAAGGTGTGTACTAAATAAAATAAATGCAGTGCTCACTGGTAATTTGGGATTACAAAACTTGATTAACAAATTATTACAAACCATCTTTCTTTTCTCTTTCTTCTGTAATTCGTCTCTGTGCAAGTTTTTCATATTCATCCTTGTCCCATTTCCGACGAAAATCTGCATTTTTCGACTAAAAATAATTAAAAAAAAAAAAAAGTTCAAATATCAAAAGGACAGAGAACCATGAAGATGAACATAAAATTTCTATAGACAATAGCGAATATGTATGTAAAGAGATATTTAATACAGCAAGCTCAAAGTACAGCAAAAGTTTTAGGTTTTATAAACATATCAAATGATGTCATGCAAGTTCCCATCCCTGCACTCTGTCCAAAAGGCAATGTTCACATTAATCCCTAAGGACATCTAAAATGGCCAACAATCAGGTGTGGCAAGGTCAGCACCGTTTGGTATAAAATGTAAGTAGATCTTATTTACTTCTCAAAGCGTGCCTGAATTTAAAAGCAGGGCTCGACAAATCCCAGGCACCGTTGTGGTAGTAGTCACCAGCATTGGGATATTAAAATGGACCCTTTATGTAGGTCTCTGTGCTGTTCTAATGTTTTAGTCACCTTGTGCCCATTATGGGTGCAGGGTGTGTAAAGTAATTGTTTATTGTTTTGTCTGCTCTCCTGTCCTGCTGATGCTTGCTACCAATTAGGTGGATTTGGATGTGGAGCGTATATAGTGCCATCTGTTGGTAGCAACTGTTATGTGCACAACCTGAATAGCAAGAGTAAGTAATTTGCATACTGCCATTTCTGAAGGAAAGAGATATTTTGTATTGGTTATTGACTTCCCCATCCTTTTATAAGTAAAGTAATCAATTTTCTGTACATTTTTTGACATATTTTGGTTATTTGAATTTTATTATGTTTGTCACAACAAGCTTTATGTAATATGCATATGGGCTGGTCCTGAGAGTCTTCGGCCTTATTGGGGTGTGCATGATCACTCTAGCCCTAGGATAAGTCAAGAGAACTAGGCCCTAAAGACCCAAGTGCCTTTGTAAAGGCAAAAGCAAATCATATTGCAGAGGTGGATACCTGCCTGGAAGAAAGACTGCGGTGGAATAGGCAGAGTGGACGATATCTGCATGGAAGTAGAGCTGCAGCCTGGTCAGGTGGAAAAGATGGAGTTAAGCCTCAGTGAAAGGAGTAGGAGTAGAAGTGCTTCAGGCTCCTTTTTCCAATGGCAAGAAAGCTGATTGAGCGGAGGTACTCTGAGAGTACAGGAGCGCTGTCGCAACCAGGAATTTTGTCCTGTCGCCTATGGATTTGTGAACCTGTTCCCTCCAAGGCGAGGGAATGGCTGGCTGCGTGGACTGTAGGCGGGAGGTGAGGGAGCTGTGATCTCCCTGCTCTGCTTTCTCACACACTCCTTAGTGATGCTGGGCCGAAACATGACATCACTCAGCACTCAATGGAGCACAGTAGGAAGATCACAGCTCCCTTGCCTACAGTACGCACAGCTGCCTCCACTCTACCCCAGCCGGCTGTACACTGGACCCAAGGGAACATTTATTCCCAACATTCAAGTACTATGTGACCTATTTAGATTAAACGCCCCCACAGCTGCTGCTACTCATGTGGATGAGATTATTAATACTTATCATCTCAGCCATTCAACTACTTCCCCTGAGAGAAGCATGGGGGGAGGGAGATATTTGCATGGATAGGCTCTTTGCAAAAACCAAACAATACATTAAAGGAGAACTATTGTATTAGGAATACAAACCTCCCGCGTATATACAAACTCTCATGGTTTCATTGACAGCCGCTAGAGGCGCTTCTGCGCTTCTCACTGTGAAAATCACAGTAAGAAGATGCTTACGTCCATAGGAAAGCATCAGCATGGACTGATTGAATGCCGCGCATGCACATTCAGCGCTGACGTCGGAAGAGGGAGGAGACTTCCCCAGCGCAGAGGGAGCCCGGCGATTGAGAAAGGTAAGAGTTTAACACCTTCTTCTCCCTTCAGCCCGGCGAGAGTGGGACCCTGAGGGTGGGGGGCCTAAAGACCCTCTAGTGCCAGGAAAACGAGTTTGTTTTCATGGCACTATAGTGGTCCTTTAAATGTCAAACACTCCCCCATACCTGGGTAATTAGCCATTTTCACCTCTCATGTTCCTCAAACCATTCCTGAACAATTTTTGCAGTGTGGCAAGGTGCATTATCCTGCTGAAAGAGGCCACTGCTAAGAATGGGTGTACCTACCAATCCCTAAAGGAATGCCAGGACCCAAGGTTTCCCAGAGCATAGCACTCCTGTGCCGGCTTGCCTTCTTCCCATAGTATTTCCTGCTGGCTCCCCAAGTAAATAACCATTCACCTGATCTAAAAGAAAATGTGATTCATCAGACCAGGCTAACTTCTCAGATTGCTCCATGGTCCAGTTCTGTTGCTCACCTCCCAATTGAAGTTGCTTTCTGAGGTGGACTCTGAGTCTCATTCACAGCAAACTGCGATGCATTTTCTGTTTTGACACCTTTCTATCAAGGCCAGCATCATTTTTTTTATTTTATTTTTTTTGCAATTTGAGCTCTAGTAGTTTGTCTGTGTGATCGAACCAGACAGGCTAACCTTCGCTCCCCACATGTATCAATCAGCCTTGGGCGCCCATAGCCCTTACACCGCTTGTCCTTCCTTGCACAACCTTTGGTAGTTACTAACCACTGCATACTGGGAACAACCAACAAGACATTTTGAATATGCTCTGACCCAGTCGTCAAGCCATCACTATTTGGCCCTTGTTAAATTCACTCATATCATTTTGCATATCCATTTTTCCTGTTTCCAACACATAAAATTCAGGAACTTACTGTTCACTTGCTGCCTAATATATCCCACCCCTTGACAGGTGCCATTTAATGATATGATCAATGTTATTCAGTTCACCTAAAGGTAGTTTTAAAGGACCACTATAGGCACCCAGACCACTCCAGCTTAATGAAGTGGTCTGGGTGCCAGGTCCATCTATGGTTAACCCTGCAGCTGTAAGCATAGCAGTTTCAGAGAAACTGCTATGTTTACAATAGGGTTAATCCAGCCTCTAGTGGCTGTCTCATTGACAGCCGCTAGAGGCCGCTTCCACGCTTCTCACTGTGATTTTCACAGTAAGAAGACGCCAGCGTACATAGGAAAGCATTGAGAAATGCTTTCCTATGGACTAACTGAATGCGAGCACAGCTCTTGACGATGATGTCGGAAGAGGGAGGAGAGTCCCCAGCGCCAAGGGAGCCGGGCGCTGGAGAAAGGTAAGCGTTTAACCCCTTCCTCCCACTAGAGCCCGACGGGAGGGGGACCCTGAGGGTGGGGGAGGGACCTATTAACACTATAGTGCCAGGAAAACAAGTTTGTTTTCCTGGCACTATAGTGGTCCTTTAATGTTGCGGCTGATCAGTGCAGCTATAGTGCCCAACACTACAATACAAGATTCTGTCATGTTTGTGGTCACAGTGCCCTTTTAAAGTTTTCTGGATGTGTTGCGTAATCACTGCTTTCAACAAAAAGGTAACCTCAAATTGGAGAATGTAACAACCTGACCCTATCCAATCTCTTCTCTTTTTTCTTCCCTATGATTGTCTTTATGATTTTTAAAGGACCAGTATAGTGCCAGGAAAACACTCGTTTTCCTGGCACTATAGTGCCCTGAGGGTGCCCCCACCTTCAGGGTCCCCCTCCCGCCCGGCTCTGGAAGGGGGAAAGGGGTAAAAACGTACCTTTTTCCAGCGCTGGGCGGGGAGCTCTCCTCCTCCGATCCTCCTCCCATGTGGCTGAATGCGCACGCGCGGCAAGAGCTGCGCGCACATTCAGCCGGTCACATAGGAAAGCATTATCAATGCTTTTCTATGGACGCTTGCGTGCTCTCCCTGTGATCTTCACAGTGAGAAGCACGCAAGCGCCTCTAGCGGCTGTCAATGAGACAGCCGCTAGAGGAATTGGGGGAAGGCTTAACCCATTCATAAACATAGCAGTTTCTCTGAAACTGCTATGTTTATAAAAGAATGGATTAAGCCTAGCTGGACCTGGCACCCAGACCACTTCATTAAGCTGAAGTGGTCTAGGTGCCTAGAGTGGTCCTTTAATTGTATTTGTTTGTTTAGTTCTTCTTAGTATCTGAGGGGGGAAAAGGCAGTGGAAGTTCACTTAAAGTGTAAAATTTGCTCTGCCAACTATTATCTGACTGGACATTTTCTCTTTCATTTTTTCAAACTGGCTGATAATTATGGGATTGGTAAACCAACACTCTGGAGATCTACATTGTGACCACTAATGCTACCTACACATACTCTAAGAGGGAAGAATAAAAGCCTTAAAGAATAAAGAAGAATTTGTAATATCCATAAAACCAGACAAATTCACCTTCATTATATATCACAAGTGCAATAATAAAATGATGTATAAAATTTCAGAAAAAGTATAAGAAAGGCTACATGCAGGGTAGAAGCTGTATCCAGAAAGTTCTCTATAAAGCATCCCATTAGATCAAGTACAAGTAGCAATATTTTAGGTGCCATCGCTCCTGGCAATTTGATAGTACTTTATTAAAAAAACCGTACAGAAGCAATAACATAAAGCAGCTTTGATCTTGTTTTTAATTTAAAATATTTTTTACATATTTGAAAGAGCAAAAATATATATGAAATAAAATTGAATTCATTTAAAAATCTGTATACTGATCAAAAAAACAAAAACAAAAAAAAACTCTCTCTCTCTCATCACTTAAAGGACAGAGTTAACATATCAGAACTAATCCTCAATCAAAAGTTAAGTTATAGTGTTATATTACTATAGGCTTAGGAATACAAATCTGTATTTCTAAATGCTATTGTGTCCCACTCACTAGCTCTAAATAGGTGTCACCCACCTAAAGCAAACACTTGCCTTATTTCAGTGCCAAGGCTCCCAGAGCACTGCTGACCTCTCTTCCATAGCCTGTGTCACAGTGGAGGCCATGCCTCCTGCAAATGGGTCCAAACCTTTGGAGATGTAATGTGCATGCATGATGAGTGCCGCACACACATTTAACTTTCCAAAAAGTAAAGCATTGAGTTAAAGGACCACTATAGTGCCAGGAAAACTAACTCGTTTTCCTGACACTATAGGGTCATTAGGGCTATTAGGTCATTCAGCCACTTACCTTTCTTTAGCGCCGGTCTCCTGCAGCGCTGGGGAACTCTCCTCCCTCTGCCGACGTCAGCTCAGAATGCTCATGCGCGGCAAGAGCTTTGCGCGCATTCAAATCGCCCATAGGAAAGCATTACTCAATGCTTTCCTATGGACGTCCAGCGTCTTCTCACTGTGATTTTCACAGTGAGAATCGCGGAAGCACCTCTAGCGGCTGTCAGTGAGACAGCCGCTGGAGGCTGGATTAACCCTCAGTGAAACACAGCAGTTGCTCTGAATGTTTTCTCTCTATGTTTTCAGCTGCAGGGTTAAAACTAGAGGGACCTAGCTGAAGTGGTCTGGGTGCCTATAGTGGTCCTTTAATGCTCTCCTCTGGGGTTTCCACGTTATGTGACTAAGTTTCACTCAGTCTGTGGGATGGAAACCAGTATGACAGCCACTAGAGGAGGAGTTAACCCTGCAATGTAAACATTGCAGTTTCTCAACTATTCCAATGTTTTACATTAGGGTTAAGGAGACAGAAATACTGCACATCTGTGATTAGGAAGCGTACAATATCAATGGTAATAAATATTGCTGTGGAAGGTCATAGGGAACCTAATTAAAATTAAAGGGACACTATAGACATCCAGCTTATTAAAGTGGTCTGGGTGCAATGTCCCAGGTCCCTTAACCCTGCCATGGTAATTATTGCAGTTCTTACCAGTAATTTCCTGCCAGGGTTAACTCCACCTCTAGTGGCGGTCTACCAGACAGCCACCAGAAAGCCTTTCGGGTCGTTAGGTGACTTTTGGTCTCCTAACAGACGCTGGACGTCCTCCCATTATGCAAGAGGACATCCAGCATCACCTGAAACTCCCATAGGAAAGCATTGCACATAAGGTCCCCCTTGCCGGCTGAATTTGGCGGGGGAGCGTGAACCAGTGCAAAAGGACATCGGCAATGGAATCAGGTAAGTGACAGAAGGGGTGAAGGGAACACTATAGGGAGATTTATTGCCAAAAAAAAAACCAAAACTTTTTTTTGCCACTATAGTTTCCCTTTAGTAAGGAACTGTCATTTCTCTGTAATTTGCACTATTAAATAAAACATTGAAAAAAATTATCTATAACATAAGCTAGTTTAGTTTCCCCACTTCTCTCAATATTGACAGTCAGACAGAACTAAACAATCGGTGGTGTGGATTTCCTCATTTACCTTTATTTTAGACATCACAATAACACATTTATTACATATAAGGACATGTAAACCATGGGCTCAACTGGGTGTTTGCCAGCCCACTCAGCAGAGGTAGCTGGCTGGGAGTGAATGGAGGCGAGCAGCTGTGTAGAATGAATGCAGGCCGTGAGTGAACTGTAATCTTCCTGCTCTGCTCACTTGCGCGCCCTACTGGGAGAAGAGCAGGAGGATGAAAGCTGCCACACTGGACTCCATAGAAATGATCCTCACTGGACCACAGGAAAAGGATCCACTCTAGCTCTCCCAAACGTATGGAGGCTGGGTGGAGATAAATTATATAAAAAAAAAAAAGTTGTTAGTGTATGAAAAAATGTGTGTCAAATCAGTGCGTGCGTGTCTCTTTGACCAGGCCCCTTCTGATTGCATGGGAAAGGCGATTTGACTCACCTTTTCTCCCACACCATGGCAGGCCACGATACCATGCCTGAGATAATCAATCTTAATGATCTCAGCCAAGCCAATGATTTTCCATAGGATAGCACTAGAAGGCTAGTGTGCATTGGCCACAAAATGCCATGCTGCAATAATCAGATGATCTCCTAAGACCCTCTGACTAATATAGCAGAGTATTACGGAAACACCTCTAGGGTTCCCATATTGACAGTCATTAGAGGCAGGTTAGGCCTGCAATGTAAACATTGGCGTTCCAACAAAACGGCAATGTTTTCAACTATAGAGTTTAAGGGTGGAGTGCCTATAATGTTCCATTAATTTGGAAAATCTTAAATATAACATTTAAAAGAAAACTGAGCATCTTATAAAAAGGTTAACACAAGTCATAAGGTGATCTTAAATGTTTTATTCAATGTTGTAAATCCCAGAAGAGCGGCAATTCCTTTTTATCATTGATTATGGGGATGTTGTATATGCACCTGCACCGCAATCCCACATTAATAAACTCAATACAATGTTTAACTCGTTCTGCTGATTTGTGCTCTAATGAAATTACAGGACCCACCATTGTGACATGCTAAAAGAAGTAAACTGGCTGTCGCTGGAATCCAGACGCACCCTTCATCTTTCCAGCCTTGTGTTTAAAGGCTTGTCTGGGCTGCTCCCCTCAGCGGTTCCCACCTCCTATAACCTCCAATCCAGTACCAGCACTTTATTTAGTCTACCTCAATACAAAAAGAAAGCAGCCCGATCCTCCTCCTCCTACAGAGTGACGCAATTATGGATCCCTCTCTACATATCTCTTAAAGGAATGCACCTGTCATGGTTGATTATATATTTCCTACCTGTTCTAGGTTACATTTTGTATATATTGTGTATTAATATTGTTTTTGTATTTTATTGTACCCTATTGTATCCATGCAATGTTTTGTGGACCAGGGACATACTTGAAAACTAGAGAAATCCCAATGTATCTTTCTTGGTAAAATATTTTATAAATAAATGAGTAAAACATAGTTGCTGATGTCCAGGAAAAAAAACAAAAAACATAGCCCGACATCTTCATACAAAAGAAGAAGAAATTTGTTCCACTCCAAAATACACCAAAACATAGCATTAGTACAATATAGTATTTTTTCATGAGGAAGCTCATACCAATCAACCTATTCACTGCCAATGACACTGCATAGTAGTAACTAACTAAGCCTGCTTTATTATAATAAGTACACAATATTAAAGTGGTTCTGTTACCTTCACAGGTGACATCCCCACATGGAGTTTGGAGACCAAGAAGTATAGCAGCAGAGGGTAGATATTTTCTCTGAAGTGGTCACCTGTTCTTTGGTCACATTTTCTCAACTTTGGGCTTTATCATAAGACAAATTAGTCAATAATTGGTCTTATGATACATTTTGTCTGCACTTTGATTTTAATGAAATGCCATCACTGTCAATGTCAGTATTTCATAAAGATTCTATATGTATGAAATATTCAGTTACATTGGTGAGGTGAGGTGCGGTGCTTTAAAGAAAATCAAACACAGTGAGTTTTAATCCTAACACAGGCTTCATTTTAAATTCCTCCTGAATACAGATTTTTCATCTAATGAGCAATAGAATTACTTTTCACTAATAGTTACAATGCAACTTGCACCTTTTCCATTTTCGGTCTAAACTAACCTCACAAACTTTACAGCATTCTCTAAACAAAAAGTGATCATTATGCACTAATAAATCCTATTAAAACTTCCAAAAAGCTGCTTTCCAGCTACTACTTTAAACTCCACTGGTCCTGAATTAGAAATCTCCACCACCATGTAACCAGTTCCACCATTAACACTTGCTCCTCGATTTTATACCTTCAGACCTCCACATTTACCACTCATTAACAGTAACCCATAAAAGACTTCCTAACACAAACAACAATGAAAACTCAGCTATGACGAGAGTTAAAAGAATATCAACAAAGGTCAGATAGGGTGCCCTCTTGCTAACATTTTGTCCAGTAAGCAATTCAACTAAACTATATTAACAAACAAACACTTTTAAAGGGCGCTCATATGGTTTGACAGTACTGTAATTGATTTTATCATAGTTTGCCAATATTATAAGTCCAGTGGATATTCCTGATATTCACTTATATTTTGTGAGTTCAATATATACATCCTGCGTGTCCATACATTCACACTCGTATTACTCTATTTGCGATTTATATATCTTTTTACAGATATTGTTCATCACGCTGTTATTATATAAGGTTGTATATTTTCATTTAAACCTTAGAAGTGATTACTTCACCCTTTTGGCATTCCTACTTTTCTGTTTTTCACTATTGTATTGATGTTTTAGAGGGCACACTTTTTTAGTAGGTTTGCTTGCATATGCATTATTTGTGGTGTGTTTTCTTTTTTTGTTACTTTTTTCTTTTTTTGTTACATTAACCAAGAGCAGTCTACTATATATCACGTTTTAACTGCACAGGGCAAATTTTGTTGTCAATGGGCAAATGGAGGTCCTCAAGTCACATATGTGAATTTACATTGTCCATCTGCGGCTCAATTTTATTTATGTGGTGTTTTGTATCATTGATGGTTTCTATCAAAACGCTGGTCAGTTGAGCAACATCTGTCTCTAGATCCCTGCATAGATCCTGTAGAATGGTTTTCATCTGTAATGTGAAGTCATCAGACTCAAAAATTGTTGTTGCAATTAAGGAGTCTGAGGCCTGTCCCTATCTGAATGGAAAAGTGGATGCTAAGAAGCAATTGCCACTTATAGATTGATTTATCCAATGGTTTGGAATAAGAAAGAATTATTTTTGTTTGCTTCATGTGGCCATGACAGACATGGAACAAGACTAGCAAACTAATGGTTGTAGTTACTTTGGATGCAATTTTATTTACCCTTGCTGCAGAAGCAATGTAATCAGGCATTCATGTTTGTTGTTCTATGTCTATGCCATACCACCAACAGTTTGAACAAATTTAGATTAAAAAAAATAAAAAAATATATATATTTTTAGAGTGGTTTATTAAAGGGACACTATAGGCACCAAAACAACTTTAGCTTAACTTAGGAGTTTTGGTAAATAGATCTTGCCCATGCAGTCTCAGTGCTCAATTCTCTGCCATTTAGGAGTTAAAATCACTATGTTGATGTTTGACATTCACAGCTATCCTAAACACTTTATGTAAAGAGAGAGTTAATGTTAAAACTTCCTTTATTGCAAACTATGTTAAAATTATAATTTCTTATATAATTATACAGCCCTAGGCAGTGGAGATGACTATGGCTGCATAAACAGAAATAAAAGTGATGTAACTCCTAAATGGCAGTGAATAGAGCATTGGGACTACAGGTGCATGGTCTATATAACAAAACTGCTTCATTAAACTATAGTGTCCCTCTAAGAAAGATGCATACCAAATAATTAGCATTTGAAAATGAATGACAAGTAGAGAGAAACAGCACCTTTACTGGCTACATTAACAGGAGTGCAAGCTTTCAATATCACTATCTTTGCCATTTTCTAGCATCATATGCCATGGCTGGATAAAATATATGTTTCGAGGTCTTCTCAGTGCGTTCTGCGATAGAATGTCCCATTACTCTGATCTCCAGTGATAATACAGGGAACATGGAGCCATCCTATACTACCATCACTGTGCCACTTAGCATAGAGGGTGGGGGAGGGGCTTTCCAGGCTCCACAAAGCAAACCCGAGCACTGAGTGACATCACACTCCGCTAATAGTTATTATCTAGTCCGTATAACCCGGGGACGGAGCACACACTGTGCACAGCATTACAGGAACTCACCCCGCTCCCCGACGCCATCTTGCTCACTAAAGCTGCTCGTCGCCCTCAATGACGTCAGGCGGAAGGGACTCTCTCCAGTAACCATGGAATCTCTTATCTCGCTCCTCCCTCTGCTACTAAACTACTTCCGCCAGCACCCTACCCTTTCCTCGATTTAGTGACCATTTCCGGCTGTAGGCGTGCTAGCCGCCATGTTTGATACGGGCATGGCTCGTACCGTTTTTTTGTTTTTTTTTAGTATTAATTAATAATTCAATGCTGATCACGTTCGTTAAACGTTGCTTTGAATAAACGAATTGTTGCTAACGGTATGTGTTGAAAATAGTTGTATACCTTCAACTGTTGTCCTAGAGGGAATTAACCATAGAGTGCGAGCAGTGTACCAGACAGGCCTCAGTGGGGCTCAGAGGTGACCGAATGGCTGGGTGCATGTCATGCTGGTGAGTGAGCTGGTAAGGCAAGGCTTGCCCTGGCACAGGGTTATTCATTGAAATGAGATTTGCATGGATTTCAACAAGTATTTTAAATTCAAGGAGGAATAGCCAAACTGAATACAGAAATGACTGGAAGATGTATTTAAAATCTAGGTATTTTGGACTAAATTTTCAATTGCACTTCAACCCCACAGTTTTCACTTTAGTAAATAACACTGTAAAACACATGTATGTAATGTGTATATATAAACTGTCTATGGAGTATCTCACAGGTGCTTTTGTAGACCTGCATGGTTATTCATTAAAGTGAGAGTACAAAGTGAATTCCACATTTGTGGCCAAGTTAGCTGAAATTGAAGCATTGCTGAATTAGCTAATGTTTCCAGTTTGGCTATTTTGACCTTAAAGGATCACTAAAGTCACACATTTAATCTCAATGCAGTGGTGCTGTCCTTGTAACCCTGCAAATTAAAACATTGCACAAAAGAAGTACTACTTTAACCCCTTAAGGACCAAACTTCTGGAATAAAATGGAATCATGACATGTCACACATGTCATGTGTCCTTAAGGGGTTAAAGGGACATTCCAGGCACCCAGACCACTTATGCCCATTGGAGTGGTCTCGGTACCAACTCCCATCACCCTTAACCCAGCAAGTGTAATTACTGCAATAATTACCTTGCAGGGTTAAAGGACCACTCTAGGCACCCAGACCACTTCAGCTTAATGAGGTGGTCTGGGTGCCAGGTCCAGCTAGGGTTAACCCATTTTTTTTATAAACATAGCAGTTTCAGAGAAACTGCTATGTTTATGAATGGGTTAAACCTTCCCCCAAAGCCTCTAGCGCAGGGGTTCTCAACCCAGTCCTCAGGACCCCCTACCAGTCCAGGATTTGGGGATTACCTGGGTGTGTCTCAGGTGTTTAGAAAAAGGGAAAAAAACACCTTAGACTCTAAGGTGTTTTTTCTTTTTCTAAACACCTTAGACACACCCAGGTAATCCCTAAACCCTGGACTGGTAGGGGGTCCTGAGGACTAACGTTGAGAACCCCTGCTCTAGCGGCTGTCTCATTGACAGCCGCTAAAGGCGCTTGCGTGATTCTTACTGTGAAAATCATAGTGAGAGCACGCAAGTGTCCATAAGAAAGCATTGATAATGCTTTCCTATGCGACCGGCTGAATGCGCGCGCAGCCAGCCGACGGGGAGGAACGCAGGAGGATCGGAGGCAGAGAGCTCCCCGCCCAACGCTGGAAAAAGGTAAGTTTTACTCCTTTTCCCCTTTCCAGAGCCGGGCGGGAGGGGGACCCTGAGGGTGGGGGCACCCTCATGGCACTATAGTGCCAGGAAAACGAATATGTTTTCCTGGCACTATAGTGGTCCTTTAAGTCCTGGGAACAACCAACAAGACATTTTGAATATGCTCTGACCCAGTCGTCAAGCCATCACTATTTGGCCCTTGTTAAATTCACTCATATCATTTTGCATATCCATTTTTCCTGTTTCCAACACATAAAATTCAGGAACTTACTGTTCACTTGCTGCCTAATATATCCCACCCCTTGACAGGTGCCATTTAATGATATGATCAATGTTATTCAGTTCACCTAAAGGTAGTTTTAAAGGACCACTATAGGCACCCAGACCACTCCAGCTTAATGAAGTGGTCTGGGTGCCAGGTCCATCTATGGTTAACCCTGCAGCTGTAAGCATAGCAGTTTCAGAGAAACTGCTATGTTTACAATAGGGTTAATCCAGCCTCTAGTGGCTGTCTCATTGACAGCCGCTAGAGGCCGCTTCCACGCTTCTCACTGTGATTTTCACAGTAAGAAGACGCCAGCGTACATAGGAAAGCATTGAATAATACTTTCCTATGGGGACGTATAATGCGTGCGGCCATTGCCGCACATGCGCATTAGGTCTCCCCTGCCGGCTGACGTCGGTGGGGGAGGAGCGTGGGCGGAGCCGGACACAGCGCTGAGGGACATCAGCACTGGATTCAAGTAAGTCACTGAAGGGGTTTCAACCCCTTCAGCAACATGGGAGGGAGGAGGGGGTTTGTTTTCCTGGCTACTAGAGAGTCCCTTTAAGTACTTGATAGCAAACTATTATACTATTGTTGTGAAATATGTTTTTCAGTAAAGATAATTTGAAAAGAAACTGTAAGGTAATGTAATTCTGCCAGCCACTATAGTGCCCTGAGGGTGCCCCCACCCTCCCAGCTCGGGAAGGGGGAAAGGGGTTAAATCTTACCTTTTTCCAGCGCTGGGCGGAGAGCTCTCCTCCTTCTCTCCTCCTCCGTTCCGCCCCGTCGGCTGAATGCGCACGCGCGGCAAGAGCTGCGCGCGTATTCAGCCGGTCGCATAGGAAAGCATTTACAATCACAGTGAGAAGCACGCAAGCGCCTCTAGTGGCTGTCAATGAGACAGCCACTAGAGGCTTTGGGGGAAGGCTTAACCCATTAATAAGCATAGCAGTTTCTCTGAAACTGCTATGTTTATTAAAAAATGGGTTACCCCTAGAAGGACCAGGCACCCAGACCACTTCATTAAGCTGAAGTGGTCTGGGTGCCTAGAGTGGTCCTTTAATGCTTTAGAGTTCCTTTAAAGTTGAAATTCACTTTGAATTCTTACTTTAGTGAATAACCCTGTAAGCCTTGAGCTCTATAAGTATTAGATTGATTCTAAAGTAATTAACAGGAAAAGGTAGAAATTTTAAATAAATATTTTTCTTCAGTATATATTAATGAGGATCCTATGGCAAGAACTATGCAAATGATTGCTGCAAAAAACTGGCAGATAACTTGTGATTGGATAACTCGAGGCAAGGTGCTACAGCAGTTAAAAAATTAGTTTAAAAAAGAAGTTAAAATTAGATTCCCAAAAAATTATATTACGGTAATTGAATATTTATTTACAGTGTGTATATAATGAATGCAGAGTGTGTGTGTGTGTGTGTTTGTGTAGTGTGTGTATGTATAATGAATGCAGTGTGTGTATGTGATGCAGAGTGTGTAACCTTGGTGGGGGGGGTGGGGCATTTTTATTATTTATTTTTTATTATTATTTTAATATTATATTTTATTATTTACATTTTTATTATATTATTATTTACATTTTTATTTTATTTTTTTGTCCCCCCTTCCTGCTTGATACATGGCCAGGGAGGGCAGCTATATTATTCCCTGGTGGTCCAGTGGTGTGTACTCTGCAGGCGGGGGCTGGCAGCGAGCTGTTACTTACCTTTCCTGCAGCTCCTGTCCCCTTCTCCTCCGTGCCGTTCAGCTCCCAGTGTAAATTCCACGGTCTGAGTGCCGCGGCAACGGTAAACCGTGGCAACGCTCTGACGCTGCGGCTCTCGTGAAACTTAAAGTGGAGCTGACAGGAGCTGCAGGAAAGGTAAGTAACAGCTCGCTTCCAGCCCCCAACAGGACCGCCGGGCTTGTAATGAGCCTGGTGGTCCTGGTCTGTATTATGGCAATGTAAGTTGCCATAATACAGACAGTGACTCAAGTATAAGACAGGTGGGGGGTTTTCAGCACAAAAAATGTGCTCAAAACCTTGTCTTATACTCGAGTATATACGGTAATTTGGCCTCTTTATAAATAGCTGGTAAGACTACACCTCGAATATGCTCAGCAATTTTGGGAACCTGTTCTAAAGAAGGATATCATGGCACTAGAAAAAGTACAGAGACGAGCTACAAAATTGATAAAAGGAATGGAGCATTTTAGTTACGAAGAAAGGTTAAACGTTTTTAATCTCTTTAGTTTGGAAAAACGGCGCCTCAGAGGGGATATGATAACATTATAGAAATATATTCGGGGCCAGTAAAAACCATTATCTGAAAATCTATTCATAAACAGGGCCATACATAGGGCACAAGGTCACACATTTAGGCTGGAAGAAAGGAGATTTCATCAAAGGCATAGAAAAGTGTTTTTTTTTTTTGTTTTTGTTTTTTTTTTACAGTAAGAACAATAAGGATATGGAATTCTCTGCCTGAACAGGTGGTTTTATCAGAGTCCATACAGATGTTTAAACTGCAATTGGATAAATACTTGGAAAAACATAACATACAGGGATATAATTTCTAATTAGTGGGGTAATAGCTGCTTGATCCAAGGAGATATCTGACTGCTATTTTGGGGTCAAGAAGCTATTTTTTTTCTAGTTTGTTTCAAAATTGGAAGTGCTTCATACTAGGTTTTTTTGCTTTCTTTTGGATCAACAACACAAACATATGTGAGGAAGGCTGAACTTGATGGACTCTTTTCAGCAAGTCTCTTTTCAGCTATGTAACTAAGAAGTGATTTGAAGTGGTCATGGTGTATATATGTGCAGAATTTCCTTATGATACATAGCATATACAGAGATCAACCCCTTTCCACCTAGAGGTTTAACTATGCATGTGAGTGTAACCCTTTGATATGAAGAGTGATGTAGCTAGAGATTTTGCCGCCCGGGGCCCTCCCTGTGTTTGCCGCCTGAGGAATACAAGGACTCGTATCCTGTCCCCTCTATACAGCCTGCAAAAATGTGTATTTGTAAGCAGTTCGAATGCCGGGGTGTATTTGTGTGTGGTATTGGAGTTTAATTGCAGGGGTGTATTTGTCTGCAGTGTTGGCATTGGATTGCAGGGGTGTATTTGTCTGCAGTGTTGGCATTGGATTGCAGGGGCGTGTTTGTGTGCAGTGTTAGTATTGAATTG